AGGGTGTCACATGCTTTTCACAGTGTAAGCACATCAAGAAAGATATGACTTATTTGCCCATTTGCCCTTTTTTTTTTATCTAAGGGGGGGGGGGGACAAAAATGATAAAAGCTGGTGTGTCAGTATTCGCGGTGTGTGCAGATCTCTGATTGGCTTTCGCTTCAGTAAAACCTGGGGACTGAGGCTGCCGGCTACGCGGTTACCTGTTACACCTGCTTCGAAAACCTAATTTAAGAACTCCAAGGGTATATTTCCCAGATTGTACACATCAATCTTTTGTCAGACTGGCCTTTATTACTTTCTTTGCTTTTTGCCAAAAAGAATGAGTAAGTGGTTGACCCATGATGCAGGAGCACATCATGCGTTGCTCATGTGTTACCGCTGTGTTGCATTGAAGCACATTTCTGTAGAGACACATTTCAGTTGTCTGCAAGGTATACAGCTGTACTATCGGCATCAAATTAAACGCGAACAACAGACCGCGTGGCACAAGCCTTGTCAATTGCATAGTTTGCGCTGCCCACCAGTCTTGAACACTGACAGGCCCGCACATCCGGTGTGGCAGCACTGTGCGATCCTCCTATATTGCAATATTTCTGTTTGTGTTCCATGTATGGTATTTGAATGAAACAAAATTTTAAAAATTCAGCGGTTAAACTACTGATGCCGAAGGGGAGTATTGTAGCATGGTTTGTCATCATGGAGTCCATCATCAGGGAATGCCTGGCTAATTCTATTTATAGTAGACAAAGGTCGGTTCATAATGCTGGCAATTTCGCGCTGTTTCATTTCATGCCGGTAAAGCAAAACAGTTTGCGCTGTCTCTTCCAAAGAAACGCTCGGCATTTCCAGCTAAAGTTGTGTCGTTCTTCTTTCACGATACAAAAGTGAAGCCTTTTCGGGTTGGTCTCTGAAAGAAGGGCACAGGTGAACCAGCGCTGGCTAACGAGATACGACGATCGTTTGGGAATTAACCGCAAACCGATTATGTTTCTCTTTTTTTTTTTTTTTTTTTTTTTGTCGTGCCAAGACACCGATTGCACTGCGACGCTGTAGTAAAAGCAAGGAATTGCGAGTGATACGATCAAAAGCGCTTGGCACGCCCACAATAGCAACCGTTATCACCATACGAAAGCTAGTGCAGAAACAGAAATAACGCCGTCTGGGGGATCGTGCAGTGCTGCCAAACTGGATGTGCATGCCTGTCAATGGCGATGACTGGATGGCCAACACTATACTGTTTCTAATGCTTGAAACACGCACTCCTCTGTTCGGGTTTCATTTGACGCCGATAGTACTTTGCTTTTTTTTATTTCCCTCTTTCTATTTCTTTACTCACTCACCTTTGCTGGCAGAAACAAGGCTGAGGTGGTTCTGAGATCAATCATTCATGATGTGGCATTGCGTCGTGGCTCTGTGAGCTTGTTATTTTTGCCAGGTTTGCCGTGAAATTGGGACCTGGTATTTACTGTTGGAGCCACAAACTACTGGGCATGGCAAACCAGCACCCTGTATCCTGTCTTTTTGTATGTCCTGTTTGTTCACCACAGTAGCTAATTGTCCATTGGCCTCTGCAGCCCTCTAACTTAGCACCAAGATGGCTCTCCTTCAGGCATGGTTGCAAGCTTTTCTTGGCTTCTTCTGAAGTGTTGCTCTCGCTTGGTGTTTTTGTCGAATGCTTCACTAATTCGTTGCTTTAAACATAACCTTGATTGATATGTGGGGTTTAACGTCCCAAAACACCATATGATTATGAGAGACGCCGTAGTGGAGGTCTCCGGAAATTTCGACCACCTGGGGTTCTCTAACGTGCACCCAAATCTTTAAACATAACCTTAGAGATGAACTCAGGCTTACATCACAAGAAGCATGCAACTTTGGAGTGATACCTCAAATCATGAAATCATGAGGTGGTTGTGTTGTCCATAAAACTCACTGTCGAAGGCAGTGGAAATCAAGGGATGGACTAAGAAATTTGTTTTTTATTGAAACTTCCTTTTGCAATTTACCACAGAACAAAAGATATCTGTGCATATTTTTAAATGGTGTATCTTTATCAGCATGTTCAGTGCTAATGAGCAGCTGTTGAATGTCTTTGCAGCATTTGAACATTTAAACTGATTAAATATACCCCCCTTCAGGATATTTGGATTGTTACCTGGTTTGCCGACAATAAAGTAAAACTGTTTTGTGACAGTGTCTGTTTTCAATGCACCTACGCATCATTTTTCTTGTCGTGATGTCTTTCCGAATAAATTTATAGCAAGTGAGCGTCCTGTCTGTCATGTGTTCTTTTTCTAACCGAATTCGCGCTCCCCTAACCAAGATATTGAACCAATTAGCCCAACATCTGACCATGTTGAAGTGCAAATGAAAGTGGCAGCATCGTCTTCCTCGACATCTAAAACATTTCTTAAATCAGGCTCTTATAAAAAATTGTTGCAGGGAGTGCTATTATTATTCTTATAAAATAAAAAAAATTGACAATAAAAGCTACAAATAAAAGTTTTTTTAACTAAGCAAGTTGAGCCTGTGTAGCTTCGTGTAAAGCATTCAAGGCATGACCTCCATGATGGTTTGTTCACGTTTGTACTCATATACAAATTCTGGAATAAAGAGGAGATTTTGTGCTTACGTATCCTGGAATTCAATCTAGATAGTATACGTTCATTTGTGGGTGATTTTTTAAAGCTGTAGAGAATGCCAGAAATGCAGGAAAATATTATAAGACTTTATCTAATGACTCTTCACCTTGTGCTGTTATAGTAGATATTTTACTAATTAGTTTTACCTGCATTGATTAGATGGCACTTTAAGCTCTTTACCTACAAGATGGACAGTAGGAAATTCACCTGAGGCTACAAAATTAGCAGTAACTATAATATGCTTGGTGATAAGGGTGAGAGTTTACAATGTACACAATTATGTGCAACATGTCTGAAAGGGTTAACATAGCATGCAGGGTGAAGTCTCACCTTCCTTGCGTCATCTGTTGTTTTTTTATGGCTATTCTTGTGAGCAATTTTTCACGTAGTGCTTCTTTATATCAGTTTTGTTTTACACTTCGTAAATGCAAGTTCGTGTTTTTCTTATCCCTGAATAGCATTTTAAAATTATTTGTGAGGTTCAGAGCTTGCATTATATTGATTTGCTATCATTTACATGTCTAAAATGTCCAATTTTCTACTGCAGGAAGCTCTTTACTGTTTCACAGTTGTAGCAGAAATTGTGACTTTGTGACATCATTTTCACTGCTCATCACAAACAATCACAGGGATGAATTTTGTGTGTTTGAGCATAGGTGCATCAGTCTCATTAGGGCATATCCAACTGTCTTTTCGTCGGTTCGCCATCCTGTCTAACCTTTATTGTCCATGGGAAAAAAAGGAAGCCAGCACATGTGTGTTGCAGGTCATTAAGGAGAGCCTGTGTCACTCTAGAAAACTTTCTTTCCCTTTTCCCCAGTGCAGGGTAGAATATCAGACTCAGCCCTGGTTAACCTTCCTGTCTTTCTTTTATCATTTCTCTCTCTCTCTCAGTTCATTGAACATTACTGTCAAGCTAGTTCTCTTTGAAAGTTAACTGTATCATCTTAAGAACTTTCTGAAGTGCATGGGTAAACTAAGGACAAGGAAACAATGGGACTTATTATTTTGTTTTTGTTTTTTGGTGTGCATAAAAAGTTGTCAAGATGAATGTTAAGCATCCAGCCCATATGACTACTATAAGATTCTTATTGCAAGGGATGTGTGCTGCAGATTCAGGTGCTGTCAAGCTGATTATGGACTTCTTTATGCTCTCTGTGTTTGAAAGGTCACCCACACTGTGCTCTGAGCCCTGGTTTATTTTTTTTACTCCAATTTTTGCATTATTTTTTTCATTTTGTAAGCCATTAGCTTTCTGTGTTTAGCTCCGTTTGCAGTGACATCTCTATGATATACTCTTTCAAGTAAAAAAATGCATTTTCTTATAGCTAAACCATGCACCCTTTTGTTGGAGTATCTTTCCTGTGTGAAGTAATTAGAGTAGCACTGTGTACCCGTCATATGTTTCTTCTTTAGGCGAGTCGCAGCTTGCTTACCATTATACAAATAAAACAAACTCTCCAGCCACTTTTAGTCTATAGTTTTTAATATTAAAATTACAAACTGGCCCTACATTTAGAGACCCATGCGGTCTCATTTTTAGGGGTTGACTATCTGGTTGGCTTTGAAGCTAGCGACCTTTTTTAGTGTTAATCCTCCTTACCACCATCATTCTTGTTGATTTGAGTTGATTTTATTTAACCACATGATAAAACACATTGCATACATGGTTTGGTGGGAAGGGAAAAAAGTGGCATGTGACAGCTTGACTAGCCCCTTCACTCAGGAGAAAAAAAATCCAAGTTACAAAATTCGTCCTGCATTTTCTGCCATTCTTTTTGCAGCAACAAGAACGTGGTAGAGCATCGAACGCATTATTTGAAGGTCGCAGGTTCAAATCCTGCAGGTGGCTAGTTATCTTTTCGTCCACTGTTATTTCTTTCAATTTGCATTACAGTCACTTATAATAACTCCCCTGTACTTTCCCTGGTATTATTGTCTGTTAGTTTTCATTAATATTGTGTCTAACAAAGGAAACGAGCCCTTAATTGTGCACTTTCTTAGTGGAGGGCGCTGAAAATTTCAACCACCTGGGGTTCTTTAACGAGCACCGAAATCTAAGCACATGGATCTCAAGCATTTTCTTTTCCATCGAAAATGTGACTGCTGTGGCCGGGATTCGATCCCGCAACCTGTGGGTCAGCAACCGAGTGCCTTAGCCACTAGCTTTCGCGTACATATTTCAGTACTTCTTTCATATTTAAGCTTTTTTCATCTTGTGTTCTTTTTAAAATAAGCCCATTAAAGTTTGAACAGTTCTGTTTCACTGTGTGCCATAAAACATTATTTATAAACTACAACTAGTATGCACTGACAGCTATTGCTGATTTAAATTATTCAAATGTGCCTGTGCAGAGGTTGACCCACCAAAGCGGCAACTGTGTGGGGGCAGTCAAGCAGCTATGGAGCATATGCTACAGTTTGGCCGTGAGCTTCATCTGATGAGTATTCAGCTCAAGCATCAGTACGGAACAAACAAAGCCAACCGAAAGATGATCCAGGTGTGTAGCATTCAGCAGTGAACTGGCTCTTGTGGTTTATTAAAGCAGGAGCACGTCAATACTCAGCCACTTGGCAGTATTTTTGCAGTGTCACATGTTTAGTGCCTATCTATCTGCACAATGTAAGATTTACTGTTTAACAATGTGTTATGATAATTTTCCTCGGAAATAATTTTTGTGCCCTGTAACTGTGAATGGGTGTTTTACAATCCTGTCTGTCCACTTTTTTTTTTTGCATACCACTTTTGTGCTTTTCTTTACATTTAAAGCAACAGTCTGCTCTCCAAGCTCTGTTTCTGCATTAAGCTTTTTAGGGGGACATGTGTGTGCACCTTTTCTTCTCATCATTCAATACAATAAAACCTTGTTAATTCAAAGTCACTGGAGCTATGAGAAATCTTTGAATTAAGGGTGTTTTTGAATTAACAAAATATACAAAAAGTGGAATGCAAGTAACTTGAAATATTAGAAGCAATCAGGGCTAGTTGTTTGCTGTGCCAGCAAATTTGTGGCTCCAAGGGTAAAGTTTTGCAGCAATTCCTGGTCTCTATTATCCCGCAAACACGGGAAAATGGTGAAACTTGCTACTGCCACACAAAAAAAAAATACTGTCGTAATTAACTGAAATGCATGCCTGCAAAAAACAAGACATCTTCACTGCAACACAGTGGTGACAAGAGGATTGTGTCAGCACATTATGATGTGACCATCTGCCCGTTCTTTTTGTTGAAGTGAACAATTTTATAATGGCCAGTGGGACAAAATTCACAATGTGCTTTGGCTGGAAAACACGATCGCTGAAGCTTTTGAAATTAGCTTACCCAGGAGACATTGCAGGCAAGAGCTTCGCCAGCATTACAAACGCGCACTCGAATGTTCGCATACATTCGCATACTTGTAGGTTTGCATACAAAATTCCTCCAAACTTTTCTTTGTTAATATCTTTATATCCTCAGAGAGAATGGGAATGGGATGAGCTGATGGTGCAAAAAGCATGCTATATTCTGCCTGTGCATCACCGGTGTTGCATTGGAGCACGTCTTGTTTTTCGCAGGCGCACATTTTAGTTGACCATAGTACAGTTTTCTTTTTTTCCTCCCCCTCTCGCTTTTTGCACTACCAATATCTAGCAAGGCTAGAGTGCTTCAGCTGTCACTCATTAGTATAGCTACGTTGCATTGCTATGTGGCTCTGAATGGCCATCGTTTCCGCGGATTTGCGGTGAAATCATGATCGGGAACCAGCATGTGGCACACAAAGTTTGCAAATTAACCAGACTGGTGCTGAGTGCCGCTTCGGATTATCCACTCAGACTAACATTGCGAAATACAGGGTTGCGGAAATAAATCGAATTAAGCAGGGTTTCTAAGTAACCGAGTTCAAATAATGAGGTTCTACTGTACATTCATTTTTTGTTGTGGTGGGGCCTGCCCAACTTGAGATTGTCACAATGATAAGTCAATTGCTAACAGCTTTTTTGTAAAACCACTTAGGGTTGCACTCTGCAGCTGTTTGCAAGTGAGGGACAGAGGAAGTGAACTTTCTGGCGTATTAGCAAGCTTTCAGCATCCCATGGAACAATCATTCCTGTTGAAAATTTTAGAAGGACCTTGCAGCACTTCCTGAGCATTCTAAATCAATATTTGTGGCCTTAATGAAAATATGGCCAGTGTAAATATTCCTTTGTCTCGCTGGATGCCTCCAGTTTCACTCAAAAGATCATCCTACTATTTTCATAACTTTATGAAGTCCCCATAATTTTTTGCATGCATGTTACTAGACATTCGAAACACAATGGCCGCTGGCATATTTATTTAGACATTGTGACTGACCTAAGACTCTATAACTATTTAGTGGCAGTGCACATGCTGATTTGCTTTGCTGCTGTGAATGAAGTTGTAACATGTTGACTTCCTGGCCATGGCAGCCATACTGCATGGTGGACAGCATTCAAGAACACTTGTTATGCAGGTTTGGCTGCTTTAAAAGAACTTCATCTGGTCAAAATAAATCAGAGCATCTGTTCTCATCTATGTCAGTTCTTTCATTCGTACATTTTGGCATATACCAACGTGTTAAAAATAAATAAACTCAAATAAACATCAAATGCTGCCTATCAATTAATCCTAACCAAATCAATAATCTCATTTGAGGCAACGCGAAATAGCCTCAACAGTATTGGTTATTGTGTTCACAGCTTGCCTTTTTAAGTTTACTGTTTTGTGCACCCTTAAGTGACACTCAATGTTTTTAGAAGTTCATTTCACTCTGATGGACAAGGGCAAAAAACAGAAATAAATGTGTGCATGTGTCTTATACAGTAAAAGCTCGTTAATTCGACACCCGTTAATTCAGAAATTCGGATAATTCGAACGGCTCTATTGGTCCCGGCCAAAGTGCATGTTAATCTATTGGACCAAACCTTCGTTATTTTATCGGAATTCGGCTCCACACCGCTTAATTCGGACAAGTGCTGACGGCTGCTGCTACACAAAAGTGTGACAAAGCAGCGCTGGAACCACTGGAGTGAAACCAAAACCTGAGTGGCATCGCCATCATCATCAACTAGTGGGGGCGATCGCAGCGTCACCGAACATCGGCGTCTTCTTTCTTCTCCACTCAGCGCCTCCGAAGCCATTTTCCCTTGTGTTGTCGTGTCGGAACCATCTCTTCTTGCGGAGTTCTCTTTTTCTTCCGTTGTGACCGTATTTGCATGCCACCACCATCGTGCGCTACAGTGATGGCAACGCCGAAAAAGCGGCAGAACTACGAGGCGAAGAACTTGGCGACTAAAGTGGAAATTTTGGAAGTACTGAGGAACGGCGACGAATCGCGACAGCAGGTTATGACCAAGTACAACGTGAAGCGGAGCACGTTGGGAACGTGCGTGAAAAATGAACAACAGATTCGACAAGCCTTCGAAAGCGAGAAGTTTCATGCCTCTAGAAAGCGGTTGCGAACCGCAGCTCATCCCCAGCTCGAAGAAGCTTTGCTCCGGTGGATTACTGACTGTCGCAATGCGCATCTGCCTTTGAGTGGACCTCTCATCATTGCGCAAGGTGAGAAGTACGTTGCAATGATGAACATTGAATCGTTCAAAGCGTCAGAAGGGTGGTTTGCGAGGTTTAGAGAGAGACACGAACTTGTCTTCAGGAGTGTGTGCGGCGAAAAGGCCAGTGTTGACGAAAGCATGACCACCGAGTGGAGAAATGTGAAGCTGCTGGAGCACATCGCCGCATATGAACCACGGGACGTGTTCAATGCAGATGAAACTGCTCTATTTTTCAGAGCTCTGCCCGACAAGACGGTGACTTTCAAAGGGGACGCGTGCATTGGTGGCAAGAAGTGCAAGCAAAGGATAACTGTGCTTCTTGCCGCCAATATGACTGGCACGGAGCGCTTGCCACTACTTGTCGTCGGGAAGGCGCTTAAGCCACGTTGTTTTAAGAACGTCAAAAGCCTTCCTGTCAAGTACACAGCGAACAGGAAGGCATGGATGACATTGGACATTTTTCGCGAATGGCTGCAGCAGTTGGACCGGCACTTCACGTCGAAGGACCGCAAGATAATTATGGTTGTTGACAACTGCAGTGCCCATAACTGTACAGTCGAACTCAAGAGCATCAAAGTAGTTTTTTTGCCGCCCAACACTACGTCTGCTCTTCAGCCGATGGACCAGGGTATCATTCACTACGTGAAGTCGAAGTACCGCTAGAAGCTGCTAGAGTGAATGATCCTATGCTCAGAAGCTGGAAAGTTGTATCAAGTGGACTTACTCGGCGCAGTGCACATCATCGCCCACGTGTGGAAAAACACTCCGCCGCAAGTCATCGCCAACTGTTTTCGGCACAGCGGTTTTGTGAGGCCCGAGCATGCAGCAGTAGCTGACGATGGCATCGAGGAGATGTCAGCCGAGTCCACCGAGGATGACTGCCCGACTTTCGATGCTGTCCTTCCCACAGATGTGACCTTTCAGGACTACATCGCGATTGATCATGGTGTCGCCACGAGTGGTCTCCTGACCGATCAAGAGATTATTAATGATGTCACGGGCGCCCATGAAGACCACGATTCCGACGAAGAATCATGCGAGGAAATACAGCCGCGATCTCATCGCACCTCACGGGAAGTCTCGGAGGCGCTGTTAATATTAGAGGACGCTTGCGTGAACACTCCCGACAGCTTACGTGCTGTTGGCCATTTGGAACAGTTAAGAAAAATTGTGATGTTGGCCAGAATCTGCGCGAAAACGCAGACGACAATTACAAAATACTTAACAAATAAAGGTATGCTTCTGCAGCTTGATTTTAAATGTTGTTTTTCCTGTTCATTCGTTAATTCGGAATTCGGCTAATTCGGACAGTTTTTCCGGTCCTGTGAAATCCGAATTAACGAGCTTTTACTGTATATGTATGAGGTGAGCTCATGTTTCAAGTCTCACAACTTTTATTGAAAGTAATCTATTTCTTTGCATCATTTTGATACTCCTTTATGGCATGGTGAAAACATTGCTTGGGAAGGGGAAAATGGGTAGTATACTCGTATTTTTTTATACACGATTCATACTCATTTCATTAGTGATCCAAGTTGTACCCAGTTCTTTCTAGATTTTCATATTTTTTGTGACGCTTGCTGTAGTGATTTGTTTTATGTACTGCTTAGTGTCAATCATAGCATGCAAAGCTGGCCACCCTGCAAAGCTAAAAAAGTAATAATGCAATTTTAATAAAGCAATCAGAAAAAAGCTTCATCTTGTATTGATTGACTATCAGTAATGTAATGCTACATATGCTAATTCACAAAAGGCCCTTCATGTAGCCTTGATCTTACTAAATTTAGGAGATATTTGTTATCTTCAATGTTTTGCAGGCTGAGTGTTTTTGATGACTTCTGTCATGTTAGGTTCTTTTTGGCAGTCAAACAGTTTGTAACTTTGCATTTAATCTATTTGGTCTAAACACAATGCTTGCCTGCTTTCTTTTCAATATAAAACGAATTATTATAATTGTCAACTTATTCTTTGTTTTACATTACTTCATTAGTAAGTACTCATGGAACAAAGGAACAAGCAGTTTCTAGACTTTGAGAGAGACTACATTATGATCACATTGTCTATCTCATTGAGGTTAACTCTAGAGATGCAAAATATAAAAAAGTAAACGAAAGCTATAGCACTTAGCACTCTCATTGGTATTTGAGAGCCTAAAATAAGAAGATACTAGCGTGGTGGCACTATTTCAAAGCAGGGAAGCAAGCTAAGCCTGAACCTATAATATGCCTTTGCAGCTCATATTCATATAAAAAAATTTTTATTATGTCTATCGTTTATTTCTTTTGGAACAAAAAAAAAAACTAGTTTTTTTTTTTAGTAGAGTCTTTTCGGTTGTGCACTATGCAGGCACGTGAATTTACACTAATTCTTGCTGCAGTCTCTATCTTTTAAATTTTTTGTAGGCCTTAAACTGAAGGAACAGGAATGTTGATTACTCATTTTTCACACATAGCTTGCTTCTTAATCAATTAACTTTAGTGAGACCTTTCCCTCTCATGTTTATTTTTCTACATCTGGTGTCAATGTGCATTGTGCTTGGTCATTGTGCAGCAATAAAGGAGTTCTGTCAGCTAATTTAAGGGGGCAGACTGGTCTTAGACATTTTTTTGTTTATTTCTCTTCAGTGATCTTGATCAAACTGAACAGGATTAGGAAGTTTTTTCTGCTGAATTCAAGTATTTAATTATTTCTCCCTTAACTCATCTTGTTCCTGAGATACCTTAAGTTCACCTCCTATTGTTTATGGGCACCATAAAAAAGTGCCTAATTAAAAGTGATATTTAAGATATGCCAGCATAGACTAATGACTATAGATTCAAAGTATGCAAGAGTTTTTTTTTTTTTTTTTTTAGGCCTTTCTTTGTTATTTTACAGCAAAATGAACTATTCATTTTCAGAAGCAGTTGGAATTGTGTTACAATGTTAGTGAATAAATAATTAAAAAGGCTTGGACTCTAAATTCTGCTCCCGTATTTGCATTCTACACACATACAGGTGTTCATTGCAAAAGGAATTATTGTTGTACCAATCCTAGCTGCAGAGATATTGAGGCCTCTAAATTGAACTGTCCTAAATTTACTTGTTTGAGAAAAATGGAAAAAACCAAAAATACACAGCTTCTTCAAAGAGCAACAATCATGGTGTGCATGTTTTGCAATCTTCATAAAGGTGCTCATAAATTTGTAGCAGAGCTTCTCACACAGGTGCCGGCAAATTATAAACAAGCCTCGAAGTTGGTTCCCCATTTTTTTGCAGGTTCTGCATGTTAACAGCATCAAGAATCTGGATAGTTAGAATGACATTAAAAAAAAATTACCACTTTCTGGTGTGTGAAAATTTGCAGAGAGATAGAAAAATACTTGCAGAAATCAAATATGTCAATTTTAAAAAATGATTTTTTTCTGTCACTTTTTGGTCCCAAAGACGAGTCTGCCCCCTTAAGTCTTTTGGATCTTATCTCACATAACTCGTCAAAACGCTGGGGGTGTATGGAAATCTGGAGACTCTATGGAGCAAAGCGGTTTTCGTACTCTGTAATCTCAACCCAAAGTAAGTAGGCCATTTGCTTATGTCTGCCATGATAGCACACACGTTAGCGCCAGCGATTGTGCCCTTATGTTCAAAGTTACAAGCCACTTCTCTATTGATGCAGCCTCCCCCCGCGCTTCTTCACCCGACGATAGACAAGCGGGGCCTCTCATCTGTGTTTAAGGGGCCATCAAAAGTGTACCTCGCACACGGGGAGATGTTACCACATGCACCTCTCGTGCAACAGAAATGGTCGGCTCGTTTTATCTTTGCTTTAGCCGCGTTTGTCACAAGTGCTTGCGCACACCTGCTTGAAAATTCGGGTGCTTTCACAGGACTTCCGCAAGCTTTATAGAGCCAATGTATGTCAACATCTGAAGTTTTCACAAGTAAATAAATTTATAATTCAGCTCACTGCTACCTGTGCTGATGTGTGCAGACATCATCATGCCAGGGTAGTGGCACTACCTACAAGTAATATATTGGCAATTGTTCTCTTTGTGCAGGATGCTTTCAGCTTGCTAGCCTATGCAGATCCCTGGAGCAGTCCCGTTGGATACCAGCTTGACCCAGTTGAAAGGGAACCAGTGTGTGCGGCACTCAACAGTGCAATCTTAGGTGAGATTATAGTGGACATAGTTTACTAACCGGAGAGTGGGGCTACAATAATTATCGTCTGCTTTTAGTGCTCACTGGTGTACATACATCGGCAAAAGAAGAAGTAGAGCTTAATCGCTTACTGAAGTTTTCCTCATCCTGACTCACTCAGATTCAAGCTCGCCAAAATGTTACCATCTTAGGCTCACCTAGACTCTGACTCCATTTGAGTATGAGCGAGCCTAAGTGAGTCGAGGCTTAAGTGTTTTAGCTTGAATTTGCATTTTCCATCATTGTGTCAATGCTAATGCCAATGCCTCACACAATTGGTACTCTACGATACCCCTTTTGATCTTATACCTTCATATACAAGTTATCTGTGGGTGCAATTCAGTTAGGACATTTTTATTGAAAGATTTGACTCAGACGAGAGACTTTTTGTTCTGTCAAGAACTTCCTGTGAATGGGATTCCAGGAGGAGGTCAAGACGCTGCCCTTTCCTTTTTGCCTTTAATTCGATTGATAAATGTTGAGCGGGTGCATGAATACTAGTGCGTCGTAATATGTGCGAGTGAACATGGGTATAAACATTAGCTGACATAGAGCAGATAGTTATGTTGAAAATGATTAGGTAGGACCATAGGTAGGCAAAAAACAAAAAAAAAAACATGGAGCTCACTCAGATTCCGACTCGTCAAAATTCTGCTCAGCAGGACTCACTCGAACTCAGGCCACTTATGTTGTCAGCGAACATGTTTGGTTCTATAATACTCAGTCATAAATTTGTCGCAGCTGTGTTTCAAGAAAAATAATAATCTAGGGTTCTCCATTCTAAATCCACAATATCTTAATGAGACGCACCATGTGGAGGACTCCAAATTTTGACATACCTTTTTTTTTATGTGCGTCAAAATCTTAGTACACACGTTTTTGCATTTCCCTATCATCAAAATGTGGTCATTTCTGCTGGGAATTGAAACCACTTGTTCAGATTTAGCAGCTAGGATAGCTGCTAAACTATCCCAGTGGAGCATTATCTTTCATCACAAGCCTATATGTTCTACAATTTTCACAGTGTAATCATCACGTAGTAAATACATATATAAAGAAGTGGTTGGTGTGATGGAACAATGCACACATCGGCCAAGGTCCAACTAACAGCGAGTCGGTCTAAATCATCAAGATCTGAAGTAATTATGGTTATTTTACTGTCGTACATTTGTTGTTTACTGACTCAAATGACCATACCATTTCCTTAATTGTTTACATCACATTTTTTTTTACAGAATCTCAGAAGTTGCCCCGTCGCCCACCACTGGAGCTTGTAATTGCTCACTCCCGAGAACTACTCAAGCTGATGTCCAAGGCAGGCCTGGGATCGTGCGCCTTTGCCAACATTGACTCACTTTTGCAGTGATTGTGACACTCTCTCTGCGGTGAAATATCAGTGGATGCTACTTTTTTTTTTACAAGCCAATCTGCCGACTACCTGTGCAGAGAGCCACCCTCCTCATCTTCAAGAAAAGAGCAATTACGAAGCTCCAAACATCTGCAAGAAAGTTCTTGAGCCATGGCCCAGAAAGAGGACATTTCAAGGAGTTAATTAATATTTCAGGCGTTTCATGTTCTGCATGAACGGAATCACCCAATTGCTTAGAATTTTGAGAAATTTATTTGCTCAAGCCACCATATGTCTTTAGCTTTGCTCTAATGGAGGAGTGATGTCTTGATATCTTGTCACTTTCTGTTTGACAGCAGTACGTGGCTTGTTTCAAAGTGGTTATGGCTTGGTATAGTGGCAGTGGTGGTTTGTGAGCTTCGTTGCATTGGTATTTTTATGCTTAGTGGGGAGGCATTGTTATTCATGGCGTGAAAAAAATGGACCATGAAAGACTGCTGCTCATTTGATTGTCCAGGAATAGAAATAAAGTCAAATGTTTTCAAAATTCCAGGTAATTGTGCAACAGTCATTATTGTGTACACATTACATACAGGTGACTGCACTAATGTTGGTCTTCGCGGTATGAGATGAGTACTACTGTAGTTAATCTTGGTGTGGTTGAACTAAAGTTATGCTCGGTGAGGTCTGCAGTGTGCCAAATGCTGGTACCAGACCAGTTGACTTAATAGCAAGGTGCAAGCAGCCGTTTGCTTTTTTAAGCGTGATGCGAAATGCCATTATATAAAACTAAGCTTAGAAAGGTCAAACAAAGCTAGTTTGTCCAGTGGTACTCGCCTGACTCACTTTGCGACTTTTAGTACTTGCCTTATTTGTAATCTTTGTCATTATGAAGTGCTGAAATGTTAGCTGGTTGTTCTGGCATCACAATAGGCCTGTGTTAATTGCTATTTGGTGGGCATAGTACATGAAATTGCAAGATTGCAAGTTTGCCAAGTGAATGTTTGTAGGTGAGCTCTTATACAATCATGTGATCACATCATTGATCAAGAATTGTTCAGAAAGACCTCTTGGTATTTTGTATTTACATGCAAAAGATATGTGAATGTCATTCTTCTTTTATTGCATAATGGAATATATATATATATATATTATATATATATATATATATATATATATATATATATATATATATATATATATATATATATATATATATATATATATATAAGGTATATTTCTTTCTGCTCATGTCCGAATCTAATTCCAAAGAGCTGTCAGACTAGTTGCTGCATTGCACGAAATCGTCGCTGGGACAAATTTTTCAGCTAGGAGATACCATGCCTACCAAACTGGTGCACTGCACGCAGTGGTAAAAATAGTACATCAGATTGCAAGTTTTCAAGTGAATGTTTGTAGGTGAGCTCGTATAGAGTCATGTGATCGCGTCATTCATCAAGAATTGTGCAGAAAGGCCTCTTGGTATTTTGTAAGCAAAAGATATGTCAATGTCATTCTTCTTTTATTGTATAGTGGCATATATACAAGGTATATTTTATTCTGCACATGTCCGAATCCAATTCCAAAGAGCTGCCAGACTAGTTACTGCAGTGCACGAAATTGTGACTGAGACGATTTTGCAGCTAGGAGATACTATGCCCACCAAACTAGTTCACTGCACACAGTGGTGAAAATAGTACATCAGATTGCAAGTTTTCAAGTGAATGTTTGTAGGTGAGCTCGTGTAGAATCATGTGATCACGTCATTCATCAAGAATTGTGCAGAAAGACCTCTTGGTATTTTCTATGCAAAAGATATCATTCTTCTTTTTTTGTATAGTGGCATATATACAAGGTATATTTTATTCTGCACATGTCCGAATCCAATTCCAAAGAGCTGCCAGACTAGTTATTGCATTGAACGAAGTCGTGACTGAGACAATTTTGCAGCTAGGAGATACCATGCCCACCAAACTAGTGCACTGCACACAGTGGTGAATACAACTGCAGTTCTGCAGCCAGCAAATATACCTTTAAAAACGCCAGTTTTGTTGCTTAGTAGTGTTGCCTGTGTTATGTTGTTTTTCAGGCCTTAGAGGGACTTGTATATTTATCCCAGCAACCTTGGAGAGTTTGCTCTCATATGTCTCTGTTTGTTTTCTTGTAAAATACATGTTTTTGAAAGATAATCTGTTTATTGACTAATGTTTGTACTTGCTGTGCATATCCATAATTAGTAGACTTTTGCTGTCACGTTTAAACTTTGCCAGAAAAGATTGGACTTTGCCAGCTGGAAGGAAGAGCATAAAGCCGTCCCGTAGGTCTCACACTTGATATGGCCGTGTCGAAAAAAGCTCTAAATGCGTTGTGTTTGATGGATGGGTGGGCACTGCAAGTTGCAGTTAAATAACTGAACAATGTGCAGTGGAAGGAATTGGTGCGGTTTCCTTGTATATTTGTCGCAGGGTACGTACAGGTCCTTGAAAACCTTAAAAACCATTGAGTTCGAAAAATGCATTTTCACGGTCCTTGAAAGTCCTGGAATTTTTTTACTTTCCTTGAAAATCCTTGAATTTTCTGAGCAATCCCAAGCGTCATTGCGGTTTCCTTTATGTGGTAGATCGGCATACCTGTCAAGTCTTCCATCTTTTCTGGGAAACTCCTGTATTTGGACCAATTCTTACGTTTGTACGGTTGTCCGTATAATCAACTGGAAATTGAAATTTTTGTGCGTGATACTGCATTGACAAAAATGCAGTCCAGTCTAATCCAGGCTCTTGCGAACCAATCGCATTTTATTGTGCATTCATCTAAAGGTACAGTAGAATCTGAATGATGCAAAACTGGCAGATATACAAATTCATGAAATTCCCCAGCCAAATTCCACTGTCCATTGGGCCATTGGGCCCTATGTTCATTGGGCTGAAATTGGATGTTACGGAGCTCTTCTCATCTCGTCGGGTCATGTGAACACCAGTGACGAAACAGTGGAACAAAGGCTAAGAGCAGCGTGCTCGAAGGTTCGGAAGGACGCGCACGGTTAGCGCACGCACTGTCAGAACTGCGGTTATCGTTTGCCACAACCCTTGTGGATGAAACCGCAGTCGCTCTTGACACGATCATGTGTGACGATGACGTAAGTGATAAAACTCCGAAAGTGCACGCGCGGTGAACACTCAACAGTTAATGCGACGTTGCATTCCACAAACGCTGTGTACAATATCGTGGCATATGAGATCATAGCAAAAAATGACACGGTTTTGAAGGCACGTGCACAGCCAGTGTACGCGAATTGAAAACGGAACTACCGGTTTCCACAACCGCCGCGTGTGAAATCGCGGTTGCAGCGACGCGAAGATGTGCAAGTAACGCAGCGGTAGGAAGATAAAGCCACAAAGAGTGCTAAGAATGTTCTTCTCCAATAAATCTAGCAACGTTGTTTCTGTCGATCTGGGTACTTTGGTTATACCTTGGCATTAAGTTTTCAGTTGACCCTGAGCGAAACTTCGACCCACGCTTTCCTAGCAGCCCGCGGCGCCATACTGTCCATTCACGTGTGTCCCAGGAAGGCATATGCAAATTCTTTTGACTGAGATAGATTTGGCTGGTTGTTTTGGGGGGATGACGTGGAATTTTGAGAGATGCAAGTATTTTCGCCCCCCTTTGAGACTCATCTTTTTCTGTAGTTGGGAAACCCTACCCTCGGGTGTTCAGCCACTCCGGGCAGGCATGAAATCGCGCAACGGCGATGTTTACTGACCTCTTCTCCCCTCCCCTCCCCTCCCCCCTTGTTTTTTTTTCGATGTTTTTTTTTGCAATAAAGAAAGGGGGAAGAAAAATTGACCCGAATCTACATGTTACACTATAAATGTTGTCGAAAGACGATAGTCTTGCATCTGTAGAGAGTGAACAAAATGTTTATTTGATGTTCTGCTCAAGAAAATCGGTGAATGATATTCTGCAGGCGCTGCGTTAGAGTGCCTCGAGCGTGTGGCGGAGGCGAACGAGCACATTTAGGCACACTAGACACAAGTGCACTCTGGCAGTTATCTTCGAAAATGAAGGCGTGCAGCCTGCGGAGAAAGATGTGCGCCAGACTCGGAGGTGATAAGTGTAGAACGCAAAGCGGCTGGCAGGTACCACCCCCATGATATCGTAGCAAAGCTATAGAAACACCTTTTTGAGCATCGCGTCGCACTGTTAGCGCAGCGCAATTAAACGCTACATTCCTTAGAGTTACTTGTGTGTGCCTCTTCTAGTATAAAGGCAGACATAGAAAACATCGAAGCGTTGTTGTGGCACCTCAGATATGCGCAATAATTGCTTTTTAATTGACAATCGCACAACTATGGAACGCTAAACCTTGAGCAATATTGCCACAGGAAATTACCATTGCTCTGCGCAACACGGACGTTGGGAACCAGAAAAACGCTAAGGGCACGGCTACGAGCGACGAAGCCAGCCGCAATGCACGAGCCGGCCCTGCATGCACCTGGTACTCCGCCGAACAGCCAACGCGCATGAAGAAGAAGAGAACGAAGGTGCTCGAGGCAGAGGCTTACGAGGACTACCGCCCTTGGATCTTCTTGATTGCTGTGCATCATTCATTGGGCACAAGTTCGCCCTTAATAAACCGTGTAAATAGAACATCGTTGTTGTGAGGCTGCTACATTCGTTACATTTTCTGGTGGAGGTGCTGGGTAGATGATTCCAACCCCCACGAGAGAGCGAAGTCCAAGCCCTGACCATCCGCAAGCCGTGGAGCTTAAGCCGGTGCACCAACGGATCAGTCGCCGTATTCGAGGGGATTCACCAGAATTTGGACCTCTTCCCTCTGTGCCAAGGGCATCAGCGACGGAAACAGAGAAACGCCACCACCATGACTAGCCAAGTTGCACCATCACAGCTCATTGTCAGCCAGCCCGTCATACCGAAGGTGTTCCATGGTGACCCGTTCGAGGACGCCGAAGACTGGCTGGATCATTTCGAGAGGGTGGCAAACATAAACCAATGGAACGAAGCAGGCAAGTTGCGCAACGTAGTAGTAGTAGTAATAGACTTTTATTCAGCCAAATTTACAGGTCGAGCATTTCGACCGCATACGTCTCTTCGAAAGACGCAGCGCGAGTGTGGTACGAAAACCACGACCCATCTTTGACGTCCTGGGAAGAGTTCCAGCGGCAGCTACTGTGTACGTTTGGCAACAATGATCGCCGGGAAAAGGCAGAAGCAGCTCTTCATGCACGGAATCAACGCACAAACGAGACTGTCGCTATGTACATAGAATACATGTCCCGCGTGTTCAAGCGAGCTGATCCCAACATGACTGAAGACAAGAAGGTGCTTCATCTCATGCATAGGGTAAAACAAGAGCTGTTCGCGGGACTCGTTCGCAATCCGCCCCACACTGTTGCTGAGTTTCGGTCGGAAGCAACAACAATAGAAACAAAGCTGCAGCAGAGAGCCCGGCAATACAATCGTGACATAGCCTGTACATCAGCAGGGGTCTTGGCAAACGTTGTCGATAATCTTGACACTCTGCGGGAGCTCGTCCGGT